CATTAGATTACCATCTATTTCGTTTGCTGCAACACCATCTTAATGGGAAAACATATGCAAATGTGGAAGGTGTTAAAGAGGATATTGACATGTTGTCTGCTTCAAAGCCAAATGATTTCTTTAATCAGGGCATTAACAACCTGATTGTAAGATGGAAAAGCATCATCGATAAGAATGGAGACTATTTCATTTAATAAATGGTTTATTTTGGTATATAAGTTGTTTGGGTTTTTTTCGTTTAAAAAAAAGTGACATTAATTTTCTGATGACCTAATAGTATCCGTCATGAGGAGATTTCAAAGTTGTATAAAGTTATCATGAAAAACAGTGGTTACAGAAATATGAAGACCATATGAAATCTCTATATTGCAGAACATATTTCATGAAGGTACACATAGTAAATTAGAAATTATAGTAAACAGCATTATGTATGGCTCCTCAGATACGGGGTTGGTTCAGTGACTTTTGTTTTATCTTATCTTATTAGATTTGCATCATGCTAAATGGTTAAAGATCTTTAAAGATGAAGTAAAAACTTCTGAATTGAAAAAATGTCAATGTAAAATTGAGATTTTATTATATTTTTAAATGTAGGTGGAATGAAACTTACTATAGTACTAATAGGAAATTAAATTATACCTAAATTAATCTTATAATGTAGATTAGGTGAAAACTACAAACTCTAGGATTTTGAATGGAAATTAACTATTGCTTTTGCCCTGTGCTAGAGCTTATCAGGCTAGCCGGGATATGATAGACATATTAGTGGTCTAGGCACAATTTTATATCATGAACAACAATTGTAGTGGTGTGAATTAGATTAAGTAAATGAAGTTTAATTATTACTAATTTCACTTATGCCATTTACAAATTAGAATTAGAATTTTATAGTTCCCACGGAATTTGAACATTTTATTTTATAAGTTTATATGAGCATACAATTCTAATAGTTTGTATATTTCAAACACTTTTGGTTAATGATTGAAATAAAGTGTTGTTTTTTTTACTTTACTTTAGATAAAACCCACCAGTAAGAAAGTCTTGCCTGCTTTTCAGCAATATCATTTCTATTACTCACTCCTTGGAAATGATGTCAGAACTGAATCATTCACAAACCTTGATAATCCTGAGTTTCCTGCTGAGAGGGCTTCTGTTCGGATAAGGAGTAACTTTGAGACCTTGTCAGAATTCTTTAAAATCCATCCTCCTCTGAAGGTTTGACTGTTTTCACCAAATAAGAACTCTTAAAAATAGAGCAAAACATATATTTGTAGTCAAAAGTTTATTGATATACACTATTTAAAAACGTTTTATTCATGTTGGTATACATAGTATAGTATGCTCAACTTCTTAAAATTAATTTTTACATAGTTTAGGAAGAAGTTTAATGAAAACGTATTTAATATTTGTATACACATAAGTACAGTAAAATTGTGATTTTTTTGGAAATGTCATGTAACTGATCAGCTGTGAGCCTAACATTACATAATGTTTTACTGCCACAAAACAATTCACCTCCAATGCACAGAAATTTTAATCTTTTTGGTAGTATCTATTTATATTGTGTAATAAGAATTGTGGTATTCTTAAGGATTTCAGGTATTTCTTTTTATGGTAAAGTTTTAGTAATTATAATTTTTTAGCTTTTTTTATGCTGTGGGGATGTTCTTGCTGGATCTGCCGAAGTAAATCTTCAGCAATTACTTGAAGGGACCGGTTCAGATCTAACTAAAAGCCCTGCTACTTTAGGAGGAACATTTCTAGTAAGCTTTGTTTATGGTATTACTAATGTAAAATTTAATTTAGAAATACTTTACTTATTTTATATAACTGATTACTTCTGAAATATATCAAAAGAGTTACTGTAAGAAATGTTAGTGTGATTGTGTTAATAACTTTGGTCTTGGAAGGCAATACATTTATTACAATTTGTTTCCATGTTTAATTTGAAGATTAAATCTCTGTTAACTGAATCTGTTTTTTTTTAATATTTATATGTCAAAATAAATGTTCTTGTATATTAAAATAAATGCAAGACTTTTCTATGCAACTTCATTAATTCTTTTCTGGAAGTTACCAGTTTAAAGGGAAAAAATACCATTTTATTGAAGTCTCTTTTACACATGCTACTTAAAAATAGGCTCATTCTTTGAAAGTATAAACCTGTAAAATGATGATACTGTATTTGCTGGTGTATAAGATGATCCCATGTATTAGACGACCCTGGATTTTTTTAGCAAAGTTAGTGCGTTTCTTTGAGGCTCGGTGTATAGGATGACTTCCATTGTCAAGCAAGTCTAAGATGTTACTTTTGTAAAGAAATTCATAGAAGTTATATTTAAGCTGCTTACCTGTGCTCTGGGGTAATCAGAGTGTGGTTTCTTATACTATTCAAACACTACAAACAGCTCAGTATGGCATGACCAAAGTAACAAACATGTAATAAACAACTTTACAAAGTTTTCATCATAGTTGAACTCCTTTTCTATTACAAAAAAATACTAAACGTTAAGATATATTAGCAATATTTTAGTATGATGGATGAGATCATTACATTTCAAATCAAAAATGTCTTTATTAATTTTAACTAGTATATGAGATAAGTAACTTCTAGTTATGAAGAATTAAGACAAATGATACAATTACAAATATGCTATTGTAATTCAGGAGGTTGCACAATGTTAATGCACTTACTCAAAAAAGCAAACAAAAGTAAAAGAACAAAATTAGTATTGGTTAAATATGCTATTAACTAGACTTGTTTGGCACAAACCTAAAATCATAAACATGTTGATAGGATAAAGAACATGAATACTTCAGAATTTTTCTATTTCTGTCTTCAGCATAATTAATCACTTAAAAACTAATTAACTATGTTTCTAGACTAAGTTCTTCATAAGTTATTGCCTGTGTTATTGTTGATAAAATGAGAGAAATGCAAATCCAAATAGTAGCAATTTAACAGAATGAGTGTCATAGACCTAACTGCTATGCTTCAAATAATCAAATATTTGCAATTAAAGAAGCCCTGCAGCTTATACCCAATTAGCTTTTATTGGTTTTAAACACTAAATTCATTCATTTTTTTTTGGAAAATTCAACAGTACCCTTGTTATGAATTACAGGTTTCAAAGTCTTAAAGAATATCATAACTTTTTGTAGTATTGAACTGTTATAGAATATTGACCACCTTTAGCTTTACTTCCTGTTAGTTTAAGCTCTTACTATATGTATAGTAAAATACTAGTTAAATAGCAGTTCTATTTGTGGTGCAACATTACATCATTAGTTAAGTTACACTAGTTTTCCTAGTTACAATAATTATCATACTTACTATTAATGTAACTTTATTTTACAATTCTTATTATTATTGAACTTTCTCAAATCCTAACACTTATTTTTTGGCTGTTATTGTAGATTTAACTTTATTTATTACTTCCTATTACTTGTTCTTTATGTATTGGGAAGAGACAGAGGTTAGTTAAAATTGGATTAGTCGTGTTAAACACACCTCATAGTTTGTTGTTTTGCTTTATTACATTAAACATGGTTATATTTTAGTGAGAGTAACAGTATTCTAGCTGTTTGTTGTAGGATTTGGGTATTAATTTAATTTTTTATTATTCATTAATTTCCATCTTCATAAACATTGGTTTTTTCTTGCCGTACTATTAACTGTATCAACATGAGGTCGGTCAATTTGACCAAGTAACATGACATTTTGTACTCGTTTAAAGTCCTTATAAATTAATACTTATAACTCTCAATATATTGGGTATATCTTCATGAAATTTGGCAGTCTTTCAGTTGATATTACAAG